TTTTTCATTATTGTTAATTAGTATTATTGTTTATGTTTTTATCTTCATTATTATACTTTTATTTCTGTGCCTTCGTTTACGTTTCGTTTTTGTATTTTTCAGACTCGAAAATCTGAAATGATGACAGTTTTGCTGAGCAGATAATCTGCACCTTAACAACTGACTTGATAACGGATGTTGGCTTTGCTAGAAGCGAGGTTATTGGGAGTTACATTACGAAAGAGCTCAGTTTTGTTTCCTGTCGGCTGCCAGTGATGGACATACAGCAAGGTGGGATTGACAATTATTGATTTTTTTTGGGACCACAACAAGGATCAGCAAGTCTGATACTCACTTCTGGAACGAGGAGTTCGCGAGCTCAGTTGGTTGGGTCCGTGTTAGAATCAGAGTGGTGTAGTTTTTATTTTGGTGTCCTACATGTGAAGTGAAGAAAACTCGTTAACAGACTAACTTTGTCTCTCGGTTTATGGTTCTTGAATACTTACACTCTACTCATCTGTCAGTGGTGAGACAGTGGCCACTTCCATAGTACGTTCATTGTTCACAACAACCCGAGGACGTTTTTCACACGATATTACCAAACCGTGAGACGTGCCATCACCGGAGCTAATACTACCTTGACATTTCACCCCTGTATGTACAACCACAAAGACCAGTAGGTCCTTGACGTCATAATCGTAACCATACCTGTGATGTCATGACTGAGGATCACGCCATGACCGCGGGTTTGATCCCCGTCCGCCATGCCGCCCTACCCGGGGTGGTCAAGCTGCCCCGGCGCTACGAGAAGGCGGCACTGGGTGACCCCCGCACTGCCAGGTACAGGAAGGTCAGCATCTGCGCAGGACCGCTGACCGTGGGTGACGGCATGTCGGACAGACTGGATGATCTCATGACGGCCATCATGTGGGTCAAACAGGAACTGGTAATTGTGCTCTTTTTTGTTTTGTTTTGTTAGTTTGTCTTGGTTTGTTTGCGTCTCGTCGAGTCATTTGGACAATCACGTGACCATTTTCATATTGGTCGAACTGGAGCTTGTAAACAAATGTGTCCGCTTATTGTTGATGTTGTTGTTTTGTTTTGTTTTGCCATCTTCCAGCTTTTAAAAATTAGTTTAGAGACGGAACTTTCAATGAAGCTAATTTGTGTCAATGCTGAGTTAACCGTGGTTGGGGGGTGGGGGGTGGGAGCGAACACGTCCTGAACAACTGAGCCCCGCTTTTGATTCGAATCAGGGTCAACCTCTCAGTAGGTTAGCAGGATATAAATTGGGCTGACGGCACCCTAAATAGCTCTATAGTTATCTTATATGAAGTGGGTGTTGTAAAAATACGGACAAAGGACAAAGGTAACAAAGAAAATAGTTATGGAGCTAATTTTTCTCAGCTACGTGGTGAATGCAAAGTATTAGTAACTATATTTTTACAAGGAACATTGTCGAAGCCAAAATCTTTGATTGACTTCACTACTAGAACTTGAAAGATCTTTAATTCGGTATGAATTTGACATGGGACTGACGACCGCACAGGAAAGCTTGATTTTACAAGTGGAATATAGAAATAAAAATGTGTTTTTCTTGAAGATGATTAGTGAACCAGAACTAGGTAAGTACCGGTAATTATATTTTGCCTTCGGTGTGCGGAAATCGGCGCCCGTGGACGACAGATCAGGCTTTTCACTGCTGCAACCCAAAGGCGAAAATTCAGTTTCCGCCTGAGGGAGTCTACATTATGGGTACCTTATGTATCTTTTTGGTAAGATGCTGTATCCCACTCAGCCCCGGTTGGCTCTGGTGGCAAAGTCAGAGCAGCTCTCTCTCCCCTTAGCCCCTTGATGACTTAAAAAGTGTCGACGCGGGCGTAAAACATTTACAATAAGTGTTCGGAACAAGAGAATTAGATCATGCTACCCCAGTGTTTCTTTTCCCACATATTGTTATGATTATTTTATGTAGCATAATTTCTATTAAGAACAGGCAAAACTGGAAAACATGCTTTTTTTGTTGTTCGGTACAATCATACGTAGATCTAAATGGAAGATAGCAGTTAGGAAATGTGGTCGTTATCGTGCTAGCTTGCCGTAGCTTACATTTTTACAAGACAGTAAAGACAACTTTATGTTTATGGGTTGGATTGTTTTTTCAGATTCTCTTGAGACAACACGACATCCTCCTGAAGAGGCAGTTCTTTGACATCCATCATTCTATTCGATCTCCACAACCGAAGAACCAGCTCACGAGCTCCTGCTCCTCCTCCACCTCCTCATCCCTTCTGACTCCCACCTCCCCAACCTCCCCCACTTCTCCCTTGCACACATCAGTGACTGCCCCCTACAGCAACAACAACAACCTCTCACACTCCGATCCTCTCTCCCCGCCGGCACCCTCAGACGTTTCTGATGACGTCACAACATCCACCCCGGACGCATCGCCTGTCTTGTCAGGCCGAAAGCGGTCATCGTCTGGTCGTCTCCCAGCCTCGTTCTCGCATTTTTACATGGAGGCTCTGATAGTGCGGCCGTCCTCCTCCGCCACGCTGCTAAACAGCGTCAACGATAACGACGACGACGACGATGAGGACACCGACGGCGATGACACGTTTGATGACGAGTTCTTCCGGCCCAGGACGTCGTCCATGCGAACGTCGCGTGACCTGGCAGCCCTGGCCAGACGGAGAGGGAGCAAAGAACTCATATGACGTTCAGGACAATAGAAGGGAGATTACAACCCATAGAATATACTCATGTTCCCATAAGGAGATGGGCTTGGGGAGGCATATTGAGAGTAAAGAACTCATCTGACCCAGTGTCTGGTTTCAGGGACTTAAGCAGCAAACACAAAGAAAACGTTTTAAAATGATTTGGCAAATGTTCATAAAGAAAACATTTTTACTGGATAGTCCAAGTATAAAACGTCTCTGCTCTGTGTTCGATCTACTGTGCCCTTCTTCATATGCACCTCAGATCAATGTATCCAGGTTTTGCCCTGAACTATATACATCGCAGTGAAAATAAGACTTTTTGCCTTTTTCTTCCAGATATCCCTTTATAATTGATGTGAAGTAAATCCTACACAGACCACTGAGTCCCGAAAAGAATGTAGCTTTTTGTGTGAGGCTTTCGGGAGGCAGTTAAAAGTAACCTCGCTAATTGATGAAGATGGATCATAGGGGAATTTGCTGGAATGAAGGAAGCCTCCTTTTATGAATCGATTGATCTCTGCCATATATTCAGGCACTTTTAATTAATCTGTACTATTTTCTACGATGGTATTGTGCTGGACTACGCTATGGGTGACCTTCTTTCGAATACCTAACCAGGTTTTCTTATTATTGGGTGATTTGGAGATTTTTCAAAGACAATTTTGATGGGTTATATCTGACACTGACTATAAATTGGAGGTTTGGCTTCCAAGGTAAGTTATGCAGTGTCAGATAGAGTGTTAAGCTTGAAAACATACCAAACGTAATTGGTAATGTTTTTAAAGAGAAGCCCATCGACACAATAACAGCTAATCATTGATTGGAAAAGAAAAAAGAGACAGCACAACGGATGGATAATAAAAACTTTGGTTTTTACCAGAGGCGCCTTCCAATCAACCTGCTCCTTGACGAGAAGAAGCATGCTCTTGCATAGCAAGAAAAGGACCTGGTGGTGGCTTCTGGTCATGTGACCTCCAGACTACAACTAACCTGACAAAAAGTTGACCAAATGAGCAAAAGTCGGTACTATCCTTTCTCTGTCAGTATCGGGATCAAGAACTTCAATGTCCGTTCTCTTTGTTGGTCGAATTTCGTGTATTTGAGAGCAGCGCCCAATCAACCAACTTTTATGGCGTCTTTAAAAGGACAAAGGACACAACGTGTTTCAACTCCTCATGATGTACTTCCATTTGCAAACCTCCTCACCGCTATCAGCGAGAGTGAATCGTCATGTTTCTTTCCTTGGCAGATTTCTGGGGAAATAAAGAAAATCATGGTACAAGTCCCACGAAGACATTATATTATTACATGTATGCTGTTTCCTCCCAACGTGTGAGAATTGAGCACTGCATTACTAAAGTTGTGGTCCTGCTAACCTGAAGCAAGTGTTTGATTGAGCAAAGGGGAGAACATACTGATTCAAAAATGGTATTTTATGCTGGAAAAGAGCAAGTCAGACAAGGATAAAGTAAAACTCATGGAGAGTAAAGAAGTAGGATCTACCAGTGGCGCCCTCCAACAACCCTCCTGAGGATGTTATGGTCCTGTTTGTCGTGTAAAAGCAAGCCATCCATACACTGATATTTCTTGCGAAAATGAAATGCTGAACATTGAAAGATAATGTTTGAACATATATTTTCTTTTACTTTGTTGTTGTTTATGTCTTTCATTTTGGTATATAGAATTCGAGACAGTTATTTCACCAGTTTGTGAGGATTTTAAATGTGGATTTTACTTAAATGCGTATATAATCTTTACATAACCAAGTGTCGTATTTTAAGATGTGTGTGTGTGTGTGTGTGTGTGTGTGTGTGTGTGTGTATGTGTGCATGTAAGAGTGTCCGTACCTGTGCAAAACTCGTGACCAATACCCTGAAGGGAGGAATTTGAACCAGCATCCAGTAGAATGTAAGTGCAGGCAGACAGACAAGGTACCGGACACACCGTCGCGCCCATAGACTAGGGGGCTCCAAGCTGGTCACACCCATGTCGGTGTCGGTGTCGTGTCGGTGTCGGTGTCGGTGTTGGCGTTCCCTCCTTCACCTAGATGACACAACGACAGGAAAACAACAAAAATACAGGCATCAGATTTTCAACTGTTAACAATAAAAAATTATGCAGTAAATATTTATGTGTCAACTTAAGCTGTGGTTTGTAAATAGATACTGTATGCAGTTTACATACAAAGCCATCGTTGTTTACAACAACAAAATATTACAACAAAGCTGTTGTTACAAATAAAGTTCTCTGTGTGTGTGTGTGTGTGTGTGTGTGTGTGTGTGTGTGTGTGTGTGTGCGCGC